CTTCGCAACAGTACAGACCTTGTAAGAACTTACCTCAGCAAAGGGCATCTCAGACTTCTTCCTCTGCTCCCAGTTATCATCCTCCGCAATCCCAGCATAGACAATCCTATAAGCCGGCTGCCAAAAAATCAAAACAGTATCTTTGACTCTGTCATAACTGTCGCCAGCAACCTCATCACCACACAGCTTCAACCATTTCTGGAAAACTGGTCCGCCATCACAAATGACTCATGGGCACTAAAAATCATCCAATTCGGCTACCGGCTGGAATTTATAGAATTTCCTCCCTTAGGGTTCGTAAGTCACACTGCTTTCGACCCTGCTCTAGAAGAGGAAGTTCTATCTCTTCTAGGAAAGGACACCATTCAACCTGTCCCAACCACAGATCTAAAAAATGGATTCTACTCCTGGTACTTCGCCGTGTCAGAGAAAGGTGGGGGTATAAGACCTATTCTCGGCCTACAAATTCTAAACACTTACCTGCATCCAAGACACTTCCGGATGGTGACCTTGGAGTCCATCCTGCCCCTGCTAAAGAAAAACAACTGGTTTGTGGTGGTGGATCTAAAGGACGCATACTTCCATGTGACCATCCATCCAGATCATCGCAAGTACCTTCGATACATCTTTCAGGGAACCATTTACCAATTCCTAGCCTTGCCCTTCGGACTTTCAACAGCTCCCAGGACATTCACAAATGTCATGGCTCCTGTGGCAGCTTACCTACGTCTCAACGGCATCCACGTCTACCCTTACATAGACAATTGGTTGGTGGTCTCCCCATCCAGGGCTCAGGCCCTGAAAGACACAAAGTTCATTCTACGGCTACTGCCACGGCTAGTACTTACCATCAACAGAGAGAAGTCCCACCTAGAACCATCCAAGATAGTGTATTACATCAGAGCATGTCTGGACACCATCAGGGTTCGAATCTTTCTGCCCAAAGACCGGATTCGAAAAATATGCAGGGCTCTCAGGAAGTTTTGGCCGGGGGCCCGTGTGAGGGCAAAACACGCTCAACACCTGTTAGGGCTTATGGCCTCTACTACTCCGGCTCTCACTCATGCACGCCTCAAACTGCGGTCCCTGCAGTATTGGTTCCTGGCACTCTTCAGTCCCATGGTAGACAGCCAGAAGAAACACCTTCGCTTCACTCCAGAGCTTGCCCAACAACTACAATGGTGGGACTACCCTCCACATCTGAGGATAGGCAGACCCTTTCATCCACTTCAGCTCACTGTACAGGTGACAACAGATGCCAGTCCGACAGGATGGGGAGCACACTGCGGACGGCACAAAGTTCATGCTCTCTGGTCTGCCCAGGAGAGAAACCTGCATATAAACTATCTGGAGATGATAGCTATCATCAAGGTCTTCAGAGCTTTCCTTCCCATGGTGCAGGGTCATGGTGTCCAATTAGTGACAGAGAACACCACAACCATGTACTATATCAACAAACAGGGAGGGATGTGCTCAGGCTCGCTTCTCTACCTTGCTATTCACCTTTGGGAGTGGTGCTACCAGCACCATGTCTTTCTGGTAGCGATTCATGTGGCCACCACAGACAATGTGTTAGCAGACCAGCTGAGTCGCCTCACACGTCAGACATATGAATGGGAACTAAACGCCCAAGGGAGGGATGCGCTCAGGCTCGCTTCTCTACCTTGCCATTCACCTTTGGGAGTGGTGCTACCAGCACCATGTCTTTCTGGTAGCGATTCATGTGGCCACAACAGACAGTGTGTTAGCAGACCAGCTGAGTCGCCTCACACGTCAGACACACAAATGGGAACTAAACGCCCAAGTATTTCAGCACCTCTGTCACCTATGGGGGACTCCTGCCGTGGACATCTTCGCCTCTCATCGCAATGCGAAGTGCATTGAGTATGCATCCAGAGCCGGACTGGGCAGGGGCTTGTTAGGGGATGCATTCATGATCCCGTGGGATCAGGGACTCCTCTACATGTTTCCTCCTCTTCCTTTAATGCTGAGGTCTCTAAGGAAGCTTCGTCACTCATCTGTGGGAGCAATCTTCATAGCACCATACTGGCCCCGGCAAGTATGGTTTCCAACGTTGATGAGGATGTCCTCAGAGTTCAAGAGACTACCAGCGTTACCCGATCTCTTGACAAAGGATGCAGGCAGAGTGTTCCACCCAGACGTGGAGACGCTGCATCTAACGGAGTGGAGAATCTCCCCGAGATCAAGGAGGTGCTAGATCGCGCCATAAAGCCGTCCACTTCTCTACTATACAACTACAAGTGGAAGAGTTTCCTAAAGTTTACTGAAGCCAGGGGTCTCATTCCATCCCCTGTATCTCTTTCTACCTTATTACAATACTTGCGTTACCTGTTTGACTTCAAATTGTCTCTTTCCACTATTAAAGTTTACCTTGCTGCAATTATCTCCTTTCAGCCTAAGGACTCAACCCCATCATGTCTTTTTTCCCACCCCACAGTTAAAGCCTTTTTTAAAGGACTTGCTAATTTGAGACCTCCAGTTCGACCACCTGTTCCACAGTGGTCCCTTCAGTTGGTGTTGCATGCCCTTACTCGCCCTCCCTTTGAGCCAATGGCTACCTGCGACCTCAAAATGTTATCTTCGAAAACATTGTTTTTGGTGGCAATTACTTCTGCCAGATGAGCAAGTGAACTCGCTGCCCTTTGTTCTGATCAACCTTTTCTACAGCTTTTCAAAGACAAAGTTCTATTACACCCTGATGTATCTTTTCTTCCAAAGGTGGTTTCAAACTTTCACCTCAACCAGCCTTTGCTGCTTCCCACTCTGTTCTCTACACCAGTGGTTCTTAACCTTTGTTACTCGGATGTTTTTGAACTGCAACTCCCAGAAACCCCAGCCAGGACAGTTGGTGGTGAAGGTTTCTGGGAGTTGCAGTCCAAAACTCCTGAGTAACCCAAGGTTAAGAACCAGTGCTCTACACCTACAAATGACACCGAGCGCATGCTCCACACTTTGGATGTCAGGAGGGCTCTCGCCTTCTATGTATCTAGAACCAAGGAATTCAGGTCATCCAATAGACTTTTCCTCTGCTACTTTGGGAAAAAGAAGGGTCTCCCAGCATCATCTTCAACGCTCTCCAGATGGCTTGTCTCCACAATCTCCCTTGCTTATGAGCTTCAGCATAAGACTCCACCTGAGGGACTCAGGGCTCATTCCACCAGAGCCATGGCCTCTTCTACTGCCCTCCTTCGTGGCGTCGATCTGCCTGACATCTGCAGGACTGCCACTTGGTCTAATGTCTCCACCTTCATCACTCACTACAGACTAGACCTGAGGGCCAAGAAGGAGACAAGTTTCAGGAGAGCGGTGTTGATGTCTGTCCTCCAGTGACAGCCCACCAGCCGGTGAGTAGGCGTGCTAATCACCCTTTTGTGTGCATTCACAGAAGACCACAATGAAGAAAGAGAGGTTACTTACCTGTAACCATTATTCTTCAAGTGGTCATCTGTGAATTCACACAATCCCGCCCTGCCTCCCCTCTATCTGTCACTGGTTATATCGAGCTCATGCTCAGGTACCTGTGGCGGATAAATTGAACTGATGCTGGGGCGGGTGGAGCATGCGTGGTATAGGCAGTGTTAAACTTGTTACTTTTCTCTTAAAGCTCGAGAATGTTCCGAGAGGCCCAACGCTGGCGCTGGGTTAACCCTTTTGTGTGAATTCACAGATGACCACTTGAAGAATAATGGTTACAGGTAAGTAACCTCTCTTTTTAATTTTAAATGAATGGGTAGAAGACATGTATCATCCCCAACCCAGAACTTATTCTTGGATCAACGCTGTATGTAGCTCTGCATAAATGAATTTGTTGGCTTTTTCGGAGCGATCTTGTGCTCCGTTTAACGATGTTCCCTATGGGCGAGTTTAGAATGCTTGAAATCATAAGTGCACTTAATAAACCCTTTGTTAAACTAATTTGACTTTGTTCCAACTCTTTTTAAATTTGTTGTAATTTCCCCCCCATTGAGATGCATTGAATAGGTTTCAATGCATTTCAATTGGGGAACCACGTTTCGCTTAGTGATGTTTCCTATGGCGATTTTTATTTATTTATTTATTGGGGGGGCAATGTGTAGCCTGTATAATTAAAAATTGTAAACCAGCTGGAGAGTGCTTGTAGCGCTATGGGGTGGTATATAAGTCCAATAAATAAATAAATAAATATAAATATTTATTTATTTATTTATTTATTGGACTTATATACGGCCCCATAGCGCTACAAGCACTCTCCGGGCGGTTTACAATTTTAATTATACAGGCTACACATTGCCCCCCCAGCAAGCTGGGTACTCATTTTACCGACCTCGGAAGGATGGAAGGCTGAGTCAACCTTGAGCCGGCTACCTGGGATTTGAACCCCAGGTTGTGAGCACAGTTTTAGCTGCAGTACAGCGTTTTAACCACTGCGCCACAAGGCTTTTTGCTTAAGGACGGTAATCCATTCCCATTGGAACAGATTGTCTGGTTTTCAATGCATTTCTATGGGAAACCGCGTTTCGCTTAGCGATGTTTTCCTATAGCGATGATTTTTTTGGAACCAATTAAAATCGTTAAGCGAGGCACCACTGTATTTGAGTATATTTCAGTTTTGTGCTCCGTGGTCGTTTAGTGTTCATTTTAATACATTATTTTCCCTTGTTTGTAAGTCCCATCCCTTCTTTCTTGTTAAGAGAAAACTGAACATAAATGAAGATATGTTACCCAGCAAATCATAATTGAGTTTATGTAGATATGTCTCTCATGGAAATTTATACGAGAATCTGGGTTTTCTACCTTCCACATTTCAGATGTCTTAATCAGGTTGCTCAAATTTTGAACAGTGGTGGCTGCATAATGATTTAATTCAAGGGCTATAGCTTTTAGTTTTTAACTGATACTATAATTGTAGAGCAGGGAGTATTCCATTGTGAAGAAGCAGGAGGCTAATAGTCTTTACTAAGTGGTTTATTCTGTACATCTTTTAATTTTCTCATTGATAGCCATATTTAAAATGAAAGGATCGAACGTATGGCCACTTATAAGAATCTATCGAGGCGGCTTTCTCCTGATAGAATTCCTTTTTCTCCTTGGAATTAACACATATGGCTGGAGGCAGGCTGGAGTGAATCATGTCCTCATCTTTGAACTCAACCCCCGCAGTAATTTGTCCCATCAGCATCTCTTTGAGGTAAGTATTGGAAGATCACAACTGATGGCAAAGGCTCTGCTCTTTCCCTCATATAACAGTGTAGCCTCATCAAGAAGAAGAAGATAGTGTTAGTATCTGTATGGTTTGATTATAGTGTAACTAGATTCTTTAAAAAGGTGATGTTTCATAAATGTTTAAAGTATGTAGGGTTTCAGAAAAAAAAATCACAAGAATATAGCCAGAGAGCCATAATTAAACTAAACGTTAAGGGTACATCAGGGGGTTAATTGTCTTTTACCTCCCTCAAGTGATTGTGGATTTTAATGCTTTTTCAAGGTAGTGTGTACAGAGGTTGTATAAGAAATGGCAGTTTGGGATGTATAAATCTTTTCCCATGGGTGATAACATGCCTTTTACATAAGAATGCCTTTGAAATTTCAGACATATATATACATGCAAACATACTTTGATTTATTTACACATTTCTAAAGCACATTTTACCCTGAAAAAGCAGGTTCCAGGGCAATGTACAGAAATAACATATCAACAAGAGAACATACTAATAAAACTTTGAAGGATTAAACAGCAAATCATCAGTTAGTTCAATGACTTATAAGCAGATTAAAATGTGGGGAAAAAATTCTTGAAAACCATCCCTAAAAAAACTTCAGCCTTGGCATTAGTCATACTTTTCTTAAGAAATTTCAAAGTTAGGGCACCGACACAAAAAAGTTCTTTCCTTTGTGCATGTACAATGTACTTCTCTCACCAAAGGCACCAAGATACCAGGGTGGTGATCTTCATGTATGTGAGGAGTTCGGTACAGAAGGACCCACTCTGGGTCATATTTTAATTAAAAGCATACACAAGCCTTTTGAATCTGGATTGAGAGCAGATTTGCAGCCAGAATAGTTTTCTTCCAGAATTGATGTATTGCGGCTCCACCTAGAGCAGTGATAAGCAATTTCAGTACAGTGGTGCCCCGCATAGCGACGATAATCCATGCAGCAAACATCGTCGCTATGCGGGGAAAAAAGCCCATAGGAATGCATTAAAACGCGTTTAATGCATTCCTATGGGCAAAAAACTTACCATTCTGTGAAAAGCCTCCATACGGCCGCCATTTTCGCTGCCCGGTAAGCAAGGAATGGGCGCGAAAACACAGCGGGCAGCCAGTTTATTTACCCAGCAGCCATTTTGGAACCGCCAATCAGCTGTTCTAAAAACATCGCTATGCGAAAATCGGTAAGCGAAACAGCTTACCGATCATCGCAAAGCGATGTTTTACCATTTAAAACATTGCAATGCGATCGCAAAAACGATCGCAAAAAACATCGCTATGCGGATTCGTCATTAAACGAGGCGCCCATTAAGCGAGGCACCACTGTAGTTCTAAGGTCTGTTTCCAAATTGCATATGCAGACTGAAACAACCCTTCTCTAGGTGGATCATATCTGAAGGTCACTTTGGGGAGTCCACTGGAATAGTCTAGTTGTCATTATTCTGTCAGGCTGAATTATTCTGTCAGGTCAGTCATCTTCAGGCACTGCAACAGCTTTTGAACCACCATGTATCAGCAAAATGCATTAGTCACTGCTGCTGAGATATACCTAAATCCTTAGGAATGTTGAGTAGGACTTTTTTATTATGAATATCAGACCCCAAATATTACATCTCAAACAGTTTTCAAAATTTGTGCCAGTTCCACAAATTCTCCTATGAGGCAAAAAGTAATAAATAAATAAATTTAATTATTGTAAGCCGCCCAGAGACGTATTAATTAATTAAAATATTGTTTGAGAAAAAATTAGTCTTCTGAGGTGTTTTTGGTTTCAAGCTACTTTTTAAAAGCCCAGATAATAGAAATTCCTTTGGTTTACTACAACTCTGGTTTCTGTTTGCAACTTGTACTTTCTCCTTCACCCCCAAAATGCCCTGGCAAAATTCTGGAACTGATTGTAAAGCAGTCATTGTGCAAGCACCTAGAAAACAATGCAGTAAAAACTAGAAGCCAACACAGATTTGTCAAGAATAAATCCTGCTAAACTAATTTGATCTCAGTTTTTGGTCAGGTCACCTCCCTGATAGACAGAGGGAATGCTGTAGACATAGTATATCTTGACTTCAGCAAAGCTTTTGACAAAGTGCCCCATGATATCCTGATGAGCAAGCTAACTAGGTGTGGGCTGGATAGATCGTGTCAGGTGGATACACAATTGGCTACAGAATTGTACTCAGAGGGTGATGATTAATGGGTCCTTCTCTAACTGGGAGGCGGTCACAAGTGGGGTACTCCAAGGCTCAGTCCTGGGCCCAGTGCTCTTCAATATTTTTTATTAATGACTTGGATGAGGGAGTGCAGGGAGTGCTTGTCAGATTTGCAGATGACACAAAATTGGGCGGAATAGCTAATACTAGAAGACAGAAACAAAATTCAAAATGACCTTGATAGGATGGAGCACTTGGCTGAAAGCAACAGAATGAAATTCAGGAGGGATAAGTGCAAAGTACTGTACCTTGGAAAAAGAAACCAATTGCACAGTTACAACATGGGGGGGGGGATACCTGGCTCAGTAAAACAATGAAGGAGAATGATCTTGGAATTATCACAGATCACAAGCTAAATATGAGCCAACAGTGTGATGTGACTACAAAAAAGGTAAATGCTATTTTAGGCTGCATCAATAGAAGTATATCCTGCAAGGTGCTAGTCCTCCTCTATCTATGCCTCACTTTGAATATTGTATCCCGTTCTGGACACTACACTTCAAGAAGGATGCTAACAAATTGGGACAAGTTCAGAGGAGGGCGACAAGGATGATCAGGGGGCTGGAAACCAAGCCTTATGAGGAAAGGCTGAAAGAATTGGGCATGTTTAACCTTGAGAAAAGAAGACTGAGGGGTGATATGATAGCACTTTTCAAATATTTGCAAGGCTGTCATACAGAGGATGGGCAGGATCTGTGCTCAGCCATCCCAGAGTGCAGGACACACCAAAGTGGGCTCGAGTTAAAGGAAACCAGATTTCGGTTGAATTATCAGGAAAAACTTCCTAACTGTTAGAGCAGTACGGCAGCAGAACCAGTTACCTCAGAAGGTTAAACACTGGAGGCATTCAAGAAGAACTTAGATAATCACCTGGCAAATATGCTTTGATTGTATTCCTGCATTGAGCAGGGGGTTGGACTTGACGACCTTGTAGGCCCCTTTCAATTTCACTTTTCTGTGATTCTATGATTATTGTACTGAAATCTAAAATCACAATGGAACTAACAAAACACAAACAGCCCAAAACAAAACAAGTCAAAATGTATAACTGATCTATAAACAAAGCACAGAGTTGAATAAAAGATGTCCATATATTCAAATATTTATATGCATTTATCTATGTCACCTGCTGTTTTCAGTCCGTAGTATTCTTAAATTAGTCAGTTATGTTAATGCTTGATCGAGTTCTATCTGAAAACATCAATTTTTTCAAAAATATAAATAATTTTTCTAAATCTTAAAGCTTTTTTAAATATCACCTGTTTGTGCAGAACATAACCATTAAGTTTGGGAATGTTCTGCATGTACCACTGAATTCTTTTTTCTATCTTTCCATCCTATTAGATTGCTGGATTCCTTGGAACATTGTGGTGCCTGAGCTTACTGGCTTGTATATACGGTCAAGACACTGAATTTCCTATCCAGACAAACCCGCTCATCTTGTATGGATTTATGTTACTGTTTCTCATCAACCCTACAAAAACTTTATACTATAAATCTCGTTTTTGGCTACTCAAACTCTTGGTACGGTGAGATCTTGTCAAAATCCATTAACCCGTGTTTGCTTCTCCCCTAGATAAAATTTTCAATAACTGAATTTTCTTACAAGGTGGTGAGTTGCTTGACCTGTTTATCAACTAGCAATTTGTACAAAACATTTGATAAATGTTGCCAGTGTTGAGGAAAACTTAAAATAACAGCTCCATTTTGAATATCAGTAGATGTTTATGGTGCTATAAGTATCATTTTTCCTATCCCAAAGGTATTTTGACGGTTTGGAATACAACAACTCTGTATACATTACTTTAAAAAATGTTTATTTTAGATACCATCTTATTTAGATTATTTTTCTCATATGCTGAACATAGTGATTCCCAACTTCAGTCCCCAAAATGTCTTGGACTAAAACTCCCAGGAGCCTTCACCACTAGCTAGCACAGGATTTCTTGGAGTTGTAGTCCAAAAGCATCTGTGTACTTGCAGTGTGATGCCCCCATGCACATCCTACTGGTAGTTAAGGATTATAACATTTGTTTTTATGACCAATAAGTGGTTCAGTGATTACTCTGTTCTTCTTCATGGCCTCTGTGCATCACACTCTGGGTAGAGCCTCATCGGAATATTCTAGAGCTTCAGCGGTAGCAAAAAGAAACATAAGTGTGGCGCCCTCCCCCCTGGTATATGTACCTTGGAACCAACGCTCTCCCTTCAGTTTCTTTTCAACCGCTGCGTTGAGAGCCTCTATCGTAGCTTCTGTGAGTTTTCTTTTTAAAAAAAGAAAAGAAAAAAGAAAGAAAATTAATTACCCTTTATTATTTCAAAACCTCTTTCTTACCATCTTTATTAATTTATTTAAAATACCACTCCAGCCTTCGGGCCGATGTCCCACCGCCTTCTTCAGTTTTGGTTCATGGGCTCTTCAGGCCCATTCAATTGTTGCTTGGTCTGCAATAACAAAATCCCACTCTCTGACAGCCAGACCATGTGCCTGTTTTGCCTTGGTGAGGCTCATCAAACCTCTCCTTGCCCTCACTGCAAAAACTTCAGGTGCAGAGTTCTCCATAGTCACCTTTCTAGGCTCAAACTTCGGCTTTGGGAACAATCTCTAAAGCCTACTAAATCTGTAATCCATGCTAAAGCCATAGATAAAACTGTTTCCGAGGTGGCAAAACAGCACCCTTCGGCTACTCCATCTCGTTCTGAACATCAAGAACCCATTTTGTCCCCGACGTCGACTCTGTTGACTGCCCTGTGGGCTCACAAAACCAAGCATTCAACATTGAAACCTTCAACATCAAAGATAGTCACCAAACAGAAACCATTGACCGACATTTCCTTGGCACCTGAACCTTCAGCACCGAAGAATGCTAAGACATCGAAGTCAAAACCCTCCAAAGCGGTTTCCACTCTGACTTCACAACCACCCGAATCTGGAGACCTCAGTTGTGTCGGATCTCCCTCCGATGCTGAGGCACCTCCACCTCATCAGCCGTCACCATCGCAGATTCCCAAATGGAAACACCGTGTCGACCGACTCACAACTATTACTTGGACCATCCAGTCTTTCTTGATGCTCCACCTTGGCACCGACGATAGCCTTCATCCACTGCTGTAAGGCTTTCACCCCTCAAGCCTGAACTGTCTCTTTTAGTTGCCGTGTCAGCTCCTTTAAGACCTCAGCCTAAGCATCTGTATCCAACTCTCAAGGTGACCCTACTTCCAGAGTTGAAGCATCACAGGCTCCACCACACACAGCACCCTGGACTCAAAGATTTCGGCCTCGGATTCAAGATGCCAACTTCTTGATCAGCACCAGGGTCAGAATCCAACATTCGATTCCAAGCCTCAGTTCCATCACACTCCTTCAGTCATCCCACATCAACTCAAACCGGACTACCCAGCTCCAACTGCCTCACTAATGACTCCATCTCTCCACCAGAGTCGACCCAGCAGGGCCATAGTCAATCTGTGGGCTTAGATGACGTGCCCAATTCCAATGCGGCCTCTGTATCATCAACAGGTACTCCCTCAGTCTTAATAACTAATCCAGAATCCGATGTTGCTGACCCTCATCCCCCTTCTCCCTCTCCATACTTTCAAACCTATTCTGAGTTTGTCCTCTGCCTAGTCAAGGTGCTTAAGCTCCAGTCTAGAATTCCTCCTCCACACTGTTCTGATCCCCATTATGATCCAATAGACAAAGCTAACACTGCTCCAGTTCACCTCACTTTGATGCCTGCTTAATGTATGTTGCTAAAGTTCTGTTAGACAAACCTTCCACGGTGCCTCCGGTTTCTAGAACGGTTGAGAGTTATTATAAGATTTTTGACACAGGAATAAACTTCCTGGCCAAACACCCAATTCCATTGTGGTTACTACCTCACAATCAAAATCTAAAGGACACCCAAGATGGGCAGGTCATAGTGGAGAATTCTGACTAAACGTGATCCATCTGGACTGCAGGTAGGTGGGGCTCGTCAGCCTTGGAAGGCAGCCCATCTTGGAGAAGGAAAACTCCGTTTTCAAACCTCCACAGCCTTGTGGCTATATCCACTGATGGAAAAGCCATTGAGGTGGTGCTGGGTAGGGGAAGGAATGGCAGTGAGGGTAGAACATGCCCAAGTAGGAGAAGAAAGGTTAGATATCTTACATTTATCCTCTCTTCTAGTCCTACCCCCAACCAGATGGTATCAGGTCACCATATCAGCAAACCCTCGAGCCACACAGTGCTGTTGAGGAATGCCAGGTCAGTACAAAATAAAACTTACCTCATCCATGATGTAATTCTGGATGAGGGTGCTGACCTGGTGTGCATTACTGAGACCTGGGTGGGAGAGGAGGGTGGTGTTCCCCTCTCCCAGCTATGTCCACCTGGGTACTTGGTCCAGCACCAATGTCGCTCAGAGGGTCGGGGAGGGGGAGTTGCTATAGTCTATAGGAGTTCTATCTCCTTGACCAGGCTTCCTATCCCTTTGAGAGGAGGTCTTGAGGGCCTGTA